GGGTTAACTATGTTGTATTAGGGTTTAGTTTTGAGGGTTTTAGGGGTTTTAGGGGTCAAAAGATTTTTTAGAGTTTAGTTTTGAGGGTTTTAGGGATCAAAAGATTTTTTACGGTTTAGAATTTTAACATTTAAGCTCTAAAAAAATCATATTTAGTGGCATTTTTGCAAATATGGACACAAAAAGTGGCATTTTTGCAAATGTCTCAAAATATTTTCATATTACTAAAAAGTAAAGTAAAATTAATGTAAAAATTTATTTACTTTTCAAAAAAATAAAATTTTACTTTCAATTTTTTTTATCTATACACTAAAATATAAATATTTGGATTTTAAGTAAATTACAAACAACATTCAAATTTTTAATTTCACTACATTCCTATTTAATTTTTAATATATGAAATTAATATGTTCATTATAGGAAATAATGAACAATAGTTTTTCTTAGCTTGAAGTGTATACTAAATTAATAGTTTTTGATGTTGTTTGTTTATGTATAAAATTATTGATTCTTTTGCGGATTTAAAAATAATAGTAGTAAATGACAAATTCATAAATTTAATTATCTTTTGATTATTCTCATCAAATAGTCAAAAGATAATTTGATTTTAAGGTTTCAAATACTAAATTAAAATTTTGTAAGATTTTAATTTTTCGTGTTAATAAAATTTGGAAAGTAAATATTTATGTGAGAAAGTTTAATATTTATGTGAGTGATTGTGGAAATGACACATCAACATATTGTCACAAATTAATGGAGAGTGATTGTAAAGTAATTGTAGATATGACACATAAACATCATGTAGTAAAGTCGTGAGGAAGATGAAGAATGTGATAAATGGATCGATCTAACTCAAAAGAGAGGTGTAAACAACAATGAGTCTTCTGGAATTGGTGTTTCTTGTTAGTTTAGGTATCTTTTACCTTTTTTTTATTTCTATCACGATTCAGATTTTTTTACGATGCTTTCTTTTACTAAAACAAGGATAATTTGATCAATGTACACTAAAAGTAATGATCGAAATAAAATGATCAACGCATAATGATTATTTTACAAAGTTGTAGTACAGAAATGGTACAAGTATACTCTTAAATGAAGTTTGCGAGGATAATCCAAAGAAACAAGTTATCAATGAACTTACACTTACAATTTAGGCCGCTTCTAATATGATAATGGTTGCCTTTTAGAGGCGTATGAGACGTTATGTAATATAATGAATACCAATCTACTCATGGTAGTGTGATAACACAGAGTTTTAACCCTATATAACTACTGCAAGTGCACA